GCATCACTTTTTCATTCGTTCCATGCTTGCTTTGCAAATATGTCTTCTCCTGTCGCTGCTGGTCAGATCAATTCTATCCGAAACTATTTCATATTGTCACCAAATCAACCACCACGCCAGCCACAGCCACGCAAGTTATTCCCAGTTTTCAAGAAAAAAGTTGGAGTTTGCCGTACCAAACTTGGTAAACAATTGTACAACGGAAGTACAAGTGATTCAAGTGTTGGGTCAGACACTGAGAGTGCTACTAAATCCGACTTCAGGCATCGCTACACATTGTCGGTGAAACGTCGAATCGTCGTGTACGCTCAGCAGCACGGTCAGCGAGCAGCCGCAAGACAATACTCAGTACACCACAGTAATGTCACCAGGTGGATGAGAGACGAAGCGACCGGGAAGTTGAATATTCAACGCGTCTCACGGTATGGCAACATTCCCGGAAGTGGTGGCAAACTGTCTTACCCCAAAGAAATTGAGGACAAGCTGGTAAAATGGATTCTAGAACTCCGGGACAATCAAGTTCCAGTGTCAACAAATATGCTTCGCCAGAAAGCCAAAGAACTAATCCGTCCGCACAATGTCAATCCAGTGTTCAAGAGTTCAGCGGGATGGGCGCGTCGATTTCTAAGTAGACATTCTCTGTCGATACGACGTCGCACATCGATGGCCCAACGACTGCCAACCGAACTCGAAGACAAAATAACTGCGTTCCATGACTTCATTGTTGAGCAAAGACGGACTTACAATTTTCCACTTGAGCTCATCGGAAATATGGACGAGACCCCGGCATATTTTGATTTGTTGCCGAATACATCCATCGCTCAGCAAGGGACAAAGACGGTCAGTATTCACAGCACCGGTGCAGAGAAATGTCACCTGACAGTAATTTTGACGGTTCTTGCAAATGGTACGGTTCTATCGCCAATGATTATTTTCAAAGGTGTAAGAAAGTTGAACTTGAATGTACCAAAGGGCATGGTTGTCGAAGTACAGAAGAAAGGATGGTGTGATACCGAATTAATGAAGATTTGGCA